GAGGGAGGGAGGGAGGGAGGAGAGAGAAAGCAAAGAGATGGGGGAGACCAACAGGGTGGGAAGAGACTGGGGGGGCAGGAGTGGGGGAGGGGGAGGGGACTGGGCCTCACCTGCTCCTTAGTGCGCCCCTCGCGCTCCCGGATGTGGGTGGTCACGATGCGCTCCATCTCCTCCCGCAGCCGCGGGTACTGCTGGAGCTGGGGGCGGCGGGAGGGGAGAGAGCCGCGTACACGGGGGGCAGGGGCAGGGGGCACCCACCCCACCCAAGGCCAGGGCTGCAGGGCGAGGGGTGGGAGGCGCACACAGAATGCCCACAGCACAGGGAGGGGGCCTGGGGTCCCAGGAAGCTGAAGGCACAGAGCAGTGGCTGCCTCTTTCCCCCAGGCACAGGTTCCAAATGGAGTCCAAGGCCCTGTCCAGCTCCCTGGACAAGTCCAGGGCAGTTCCATGGGAACCGGCCTGGTCTGCCTCTTGGCCACAGCCCTCTCGGAACTGGCCTGATAAATGGAGGCTTTTGGGTGAAAGCTAACTTCCTGGGCTGTCACTGCCACTCTTTGCCTCCTGAGGCTTCGAGGGGACAGCCCGATGAGGGGCAAGGCGGGGAACAGCCTCCCAATTCCTGCCCAGGAGGAATCGGGGCGGGGCGGGGCCCGAGGTGCCAGGCGGCCTCCTGGGTGAGTAGATGCTCTTTGTCAGAGCCAGGAGGTGGGGTTGCGGGGTGGGGACGGGACAGCGGTCACAGCAAAGGCCATGCGGGAGCCTCAGGCGCAGGCATGCGAGGGGCAGGGCATGCGGAGGTGGGGTGCAGCAGCATGAGCAGTACCCCGCGGGGCCTGGCTGGCCCGGCCCTCGGCCCTCTCCGTAGACCCCAGCCAGCTCTGCCTCCCTTGGCATGCCCCCACCTCCACAATATCCCTACCCGATCCCCTCTGGGTAGGAGCTCAGCAGTCTCCACTGCCCTCCCCCCAACTCCTGTTCCTGAAACTGGAGGGGAAAGTTGGCCCAAGTCCATCCTCCTCCAGCCGTGAATGCTGCCCGCGGTCAGCCGGGCTCTGGACAAAGCCCAGAGTGGTTCACTCTAGGCCACCTCCTCCCGCCAGGCTGCCCTGATCACTCAAGAGCCGGGTTAGGGGTCTCCCCCTCCCACCTCCCTCCCCAGCAGCAGGGGCAGGGGTGGTATGTGTTGGGGGGAATGGGGATGAATGAGAATGGTGTGTTTGCCCCCCTTGCCGGGGAGAGCGGTCCTCAAGCTCCTGAACGCCCTCCCCATGGGTGGCGGTGGCGTGTGGGGTACAGACAAAGCTAGGAGGGCTCCTGCTCCCTCTTCCAGTGCCTGGGACAGGCCCCCAGGGGGACCTCCAGGGTGTGAAGACAGCCAGGGGTCGGTGCACTGGGATCGCAGGTGGTGATTCTGGGGGCAAGATGGCGGCCCAGAGGACAGATAGGCGGCTGAAGCAGGAGGA